GTGCTCCGCTCCGTTTGAAGGGAAATCTTCGTTTTTACGATTAGGATTGATTAAGATCATTTGATTTCAACCGTAATTTTGTTGAACACATCATGTAATATGAGAAAGTCATTTAGAAAAGTACGTTAGAGATTAAGTAGGTGATTAAGTATCGTCGAGTTCCCGGTATAACTTGGTAAAAGTATCCATCCCCGAAATTTAGTGATGTCAGCATGGTTTGTTGATTGTTCAGTTGATGGGATAATGTCTGATAATGGATTACTGATAATATGATAGCAATTGATACTGGAAATAATATTACAGAAGCATTTTGCAAACAGTTCATTTCGTCGATCTTGTTGCATCGCATGGCATTTGCGTAAGAATTGTTGTACTATTCTTGCTATACATTCACATTTGCATTTATTTGTCCGTTCGTTTGTATTATTTCATTCATTCATCCCGATTCTAGTACCATTTTGGTACCATCTCGTGTCGTCGTTCTGGTACCATTTTCCAGTTTGTGCAATTGTCTATAATTTTAATGTGTATGGTCTGCAGCAGGATTTGTTTCTGTCTTGAAAATTGATTGCTTCAGCTGTCGGGTTTCAGAAAATTTGTTGTGTCCTGATGTTCTGATGAAAAGCACTGATGAACTCACGTCCAGGAAGCAGCGAACTTATATTTCGCACTTATATTCTTCTCAGTGCCATCTCATTCATGATACTATTCATTTTTGAGAGTGTCACCTAGACGTGTCTAAAATTTTCTTCCAATCATGCAAAATTGCAGGTGTTTGTTTGCAGTATATTTGAGAATTTTTATCACTGGAATATTTTTATCAATGATAATGTCACGCATGTTTCACGCACACAAATATTGCACCTTTCATTGTTGTTATCATTTTCATTGAGGATGATGTCTTTAATCTTTTTGCCATAGCAATAACGTTTTGTGAATATTTGAAAGCTCATATATGCATATGTACTTATTTTTCGTTAATCGATATTCTTAAAAAACTTTCGGAAAGCGTACTTCGTCCAATCCAGATATTCATGAACAAATCAGGTCCAGCTTTGAATCAAGAGGAAAGCCCATGAGATTAGCGCTTCATCCGGGCGTCAAATGTTAACAACTGACCGTTCGATTGAATACTGTTCGATTGGGATTCCCATTTGAATATCTGATCAACACTAAACAAGGGAGTGTAATCAGCGCACAGGATAATCAGTTTCCCTCACCTCCTTCAGGTATCCGTCTCCAATTTTATCAGTCTACTGTTACGTTGTTCAGTACGAATATTCAATTGATACTTCCATCGATTCTAGTCTTATTGTATCTGTTGGTGTTTATTTGACTCAAATTGACATTATTTTTGCCGCTGTTATGATCACCGTTATTGGCATATGCTTAACGATTAATTATTATTTCTATTCAAACTACTCCTCTCATTCGTGTGATTTGTATGAATTTTGTGTTTCCATGGCGCTCAAATGATTCGTATTCAAATTTTTTTTGCTCGTTGTATTTTTGATATTTTTTGCATGCTTGTTTTTACTTTGTGTTTTGTTTCGCTTCATTCAGTATTGTTTTTTTTTGATTAAATGTTTGTTTATTTGTGCATGAAAATGATAAAAATTCTATCAATAACTCATAATTGATACCACCACACAATCATAATGTTCATAAATGTGTTTCAATAAAACTGTCAAATTTCCATTTCATAACCAGCATGAAACAACTATCAGCACCACATTAATGAATTTCCTTTAAAAACATCATGCACTTGCGATCATGTCTGAATGTAAAAGTTATAGCACACTGATTGACATCTAATTGCAAGTCAATCACTTTGGATGAAAATGGTATTTATTGGAATGAAACTTTGGAAGAGTTTTGCGTAAATGTTATCGGAAATATTTAAGTATGCATGATGCACCACAACACTAATTTGGATGCACTACGCGAAGATTTCTCAATAATTTTGAGAACAATTGATCAACATTTTCATTTGTGACATTTTGTGGACTTTTACTTATTTTATGACCATTCGGATCTCCGTATTACTCACATTTTCGGTGATTATTCGGTGGCTTATGATACAGCCGAAAGGTTGAAATTGAGAAGATATTTCAAAATTTTATCGGCAGTTGGTATATGATCATATACAAGCAAGTGTGGAGGGGACGGCTTGCTTTTCAGTGTACCTTCAGACGTATCAGTTGCCTGAGATAGCAAAAAACAGAGTAATGGATTGATGAGCAGAATATGTTGTGTGAAAGAAGGAATTTTGATGTCTGTACTGACATCCAAGTCGCAATGACGAAACAAGCGGATTTCCCTGGGGAAGTTTAGGTGTTCTCAAGAGTATTCATAGCAATTTTCAGGTGAGTGGTTATGCGTCGATGCCGATCTCGCCATATCCCGGTCAGCAGCCAACTCAACAACAACAAGCGCAGATGTTTGCCGCATCATCCGGAATGATACATCATGGCTTGTTGAATCCATCAGCGGCCATCTATAAAGGTGCCGGAGGAGGTCCGGACGTTCATAGTCAAACGAGTAGTAACGATGGTTCGAGTGGAAGCGATCGGCAACAGAATATGCGAGTGTTCGTTTTGTCAGCGATTTATTTAAATGCCACTGAATTTTATCAATTTGTTTTTCCCGTTCATTACAGTTCCTTTCCTTTTCCACTCGGTTCCTACCAATTTCTCGCGTTTTTGTTTTGATTTTCTAAAAATTTCCAGTTTTTATTCGCGACTGAATTTTTTCGAACTTTCAGCGGTCGTGCTGTTCTGCCGCCTGCGCCAGTGCCATCGCTGTCGACACTCTCCCAGCACATTCAAGTGTCGAGCAGTGTTACCGGTGGCGGAGGATCGTCCTCTTTGGCTGCCGGTCCGTCCTCGCTGAATCAGCCGAATCGTCTCGATGAGTTACCGCAAGATTTGGCATCTAGTCGACAGAGTTTTCGTATTGCTATGAGTCAACCGTTCGAATTTTTCGTTGATAACTTATAAATTTC